AAAAAAACTCTTACCGTGGATTTTTTTTTTTCAACAAGTCAGCCACCTAGGCAGGGTGACCCAAAAAGAAAGAAAATCCCCAAAACGAAAATACTTTCATCATCATTCAAGACTTTCCCATCACTCATACATAATCACTGTTTTTGCAGAGGCACCCAGATACAACAGTTTAGAAGCATATATAAAGATACAATATAAAAAGTGACCTGAAATAATATAATAAACTCTATATAAAATACAATATCAGGGCCCCAATTATATATATACTGTCCTATTACACATCCCTCCAAACTGCCAATATCCCAAACTCCTCCTTTAAAGTGCAGGCATTGTACTTCCCATTTCCAGGACTCAAGTCCGGCTACATAAAAATAACCGGTTTCCCTGAATCCCTTCACTAAATATTACCCTGCTCACACTCCAACAGCCTGTCAGGTCCCAAAAACCATTAGTCTCCATTCACACCTATCAAACACGCTCATGCACGCTTGCTGTAAATCCAAGCCCTTGCCCACAAAACCTCCTTTACCCCTCCCTCCAACCTTTTCGAAGACGACCCCTACCTCGCCTTCCTTTCCCTACAGATTTATACACTCTCCATGTCATTCTACTTTGATCCATTCTCTCTAAATGACCAAACCACCTCAACAACCCCTCTTCAGCCCTCTGACTAATACTTTTATTAACTCCACACCTTCTCCTAATTTCCACACTTCGAATTTTCTGCATAATATTTACACATTGTCCTTAGACAGGACATCTCCACTGCCTTCAACCACCTCCTTGCTGCAGTATTTACAACCCAAGCTTCACACCCATATAAGAGTGTTGGTACCACTATACTTTCATACATTCCCTTCTTTGCCTCCATAGATAACATTTTTTGTCTTCACATATACCTCAATGCACCACTCACCTTTTTTCCCTCATTAATTCTATGGTTAACTTCATTCTTCATCAACCCATCCACTGACATATCAACTCCCAAACATCTGAAAACATTCACTTCTTCCATACTCCTCTCCAATGTGATATCCAATTTTTCTTTATCTAAATCATTTGATGCCCTCATCACCTTAACTCTTATCTATGTTCACGTTCAACTTTCTACCTTTACACACCCTCTCAAACTCGTCCACTAACCTTTGCAACTATTCTTTAGAATTGCCCATGAGCACAGTATCATCAGCAAAAAGTAATTGCATCAACTCCCATTTTGTGTTTGATTTCCAGTAATTTAATCCCACCCCTCTCCCCAACACCCTAGCATTTACTTCTTTTACAACCCCATCTATAAATAAATTAAACAACCATGGTGACATTACACATCCTTGTCTAAGACCTACTTTTACCGGGAAGTAGTCTCTTCTACACACCCTAACCTGAGCCTCACTATCCTCATAAAACCTCTTTACAGCATTTAGTAACTTACTACCTATTCCATATACTTGCAACATCTGCCACATTGCTCCCCTATTCACTATCATATGCCTTTTCTAAATCCATAAATGCAATAAAAACTTCCCTACCTTTATCTAATTTTTTTTTTTCAACAAGTCGACTGTCTCCCACCGAGGCAGGGTGACCCAAAAAAAACAAAGAAAATCCCCAAAAAGAAAAATACTTTCATCATCATTCAACACTTTCACCACACTCACACATTATCACTGTTTTTGCAGAGGTGCTCAGAATACAACAGTTTAGAAGCATATACATATAAAGATACGCAACATACCCTCCAAACTGCCAATATCCCAAACCCCTCCTTCAAAGTGCAGGCATTGTACTTCCCATTTCCAGGACTCAAGTCTGACTATATGAAAATAACCGGTTTCCCTGAATCCCTTCACTAAATATTACCCTGCTCACACTCCAACAGATCGTCAGGTCCCAAGTACCATTTGTCTCCATTCACTCGTATCTAACACACTCACGCACGCTTGCTGAAAGTCCAAGCCCCTCGCCCACAAAACCTCCTCTCTCCAACCCTTTCGAGGACGACCCCTACCCCGCCTTCCTTCCCCTATAGATTTATTCTACTTTGATTCATTCTCTCTAAATGACCAAACCACCTCAACAACCCCTCTTCTGCCCTCTGACTAATACTTTTATTAACTCCACACCTTTTCCTAATTTCCACACTCCGAATTTTCTGCATAATATTTACACCACACATTGCCCTTAAACAGGACATCTCCACTGCCTCCAACCGTCTCCTCGCTGCTGCATTTACCACCCAAGCTTCACACCCATATAAGAGTGTTGGTACTACTATACTTTCATACATTCCCTTCTTTGCCTCCATAGATAACGTTTTTTGACTCCACACATACCTCAACGCACCACTCACCTTTTTTCCCTCATCAATTCTATGATTAACTTCATCCTTCATAAATCCATCCGCCGACACGTCAACTCCAAAGTATGTGAAAACATTCACTTCTTCCATACTCCTCCCCAATTTGATATCCAATTTTTCTTTATCTAAATCATTTGATACCCTCATCACCTTACTCTTTTCTATGTTCACGTTCAACTTTCTACCTTTACACACATTCCCAAACTCATCCACTAACCTTTGCAATTTTTCTTTAGAATCTCCCATAAGCACTAGGCATATTTCTACACCATAGGATGGTTAGCACAGGCACCACTGTGACCACAAATGCAAGTTTGTTTGCAATCGTGTCATTACGATTTCTTGAGTCATGTTGACGGCAGTGAAGGGACTTGAGCTAGAGTTCGTCACGGCCACGCTAGCTGGAGACTCGTCTGTAAAAACTTGCATTTGCGGTCACAGTGGTGCCTGTGCTAACCTTCCTATGGTGTAGAAATATACCTAGTTGGATGAATCTTATTGTGGCTAGCTGGTCTAGTGGCTAACGCGACGGGCTGGAGTTTTGAGACTATGACCGCGGGTTCAATCCCGGCCAGGGGTATGGTTTGTTTGCAATCGTGTCATTACGATTTCTTGAGTCATGTTTAGTACAATACTTCCTTAGATGATCCACTCAATCCGTTTTTGGTGGAGAAAGAGTTGCAAATGGTAGACTTATTACATACAGTCCCTTGGGAAATGGCATGTAAGAAAGCTCAATCCAAGGAAGAGGTGTGATCCACCTCCTTGACTCTAGAGTCTTCACCTGTTGCAAGATGGAGTTGAAATTGACAGAAGTTTGAGGAGAGATCTGGACAATGATTCCCTTCTCATTTTTCTGGAAACAAATTTTACATAAAAGGGAAAATCCCCACAACTGAAGCCAAATGCTGGTTGGTGGCTTCTTAAGTCAAGCACCCAAGAGAGGGGAGGACACCCCCCCCCCCCATGGGAATGATCCCCCACCCTAAAGCATATTTCACTCAACCTCATCTGTCGCAAAAAAAAAAATTAACAAATAAAAACTCTGCTACTGAGGGAAACACCAGAGGTGTGGGAAGTAAAAATTATAATTTTTTTTAACACTCTGGCCATCTCCACCATGGCAGGGTGACCTCAAAATGAAACACTTTTACCATCATTCACACTATGTCTTACCAGAGGCACTCCGATATGAGTTTTGATGTCTCTCCAAACAGCAAATATCCAGGACCCCTCCTACAGAGTGCAGGCACTGTCCCTAGAGGTGTCATGGAACTACAGGCACAATGGAACTGAGGCAACAGGAAAAGTATCAACATGGATTAAAGAATATTTAATGGCAGGAAATGGTTTCAGTAAGAGATGAAGCATCAGAACAGTGACAACTAATAGAGGAACCCAAATATCAGTACAGAGCCCCAATTACTCCTAGCGTATTCAATAAGAAATGTTAAAATACTACTGTATCTCAATGATTCCAAGTACCAGAGTGTAACATTTGCAATAAACAATATGAAACTTGAGATCATCCAAATAGGTATAGTGAAGGAATTCAAGGGAGATGAGCTATTCTAGAAGAAACAAGAACACTAGAGAATATGATAAAATAGTAAATACCTTCCCTAAGGAATATAAACAAAACAGACAAGAACAGGTAAACACCCAAACAAGGCTTAGGTATAAAAGAGAAGATTACAACAAATGGCTAATAAAGTAGAGTAATTTGGGATAAATTATTCCAGCAACAAAATACGTACATGTATGCAAAGAAGGGAATGTATGAAAGTATAGTGGTACCAACACTCTTATATGGATGTGAAGCTTGGGTGGTAAATGCAGCAGCGAGGAGACGGTTGGAGGCAGTGGAGATGTCCTGTCTAAGGGCTGTGTGTGGTGTAAATATTATGCAGAAAATTCAGAGTGTGGAAATTAGGAGAAGGTGTGGAGTTAATAAAAGCATTAGTCAAGAGGGCAGAAGAGGGGTTGTTGAGGTGGTTTGGTCATTTAGAGAGAATGGATCAAAGTAGAATGACATGGAAAGCATATAAATCTATAGGGGAAGGAAGGAGGGGTAGGGATCGTCCTCGAAAGGGTTGGAGAGAGGGGGTAAAGGAGGTTTTGTGGGCGAGGGGCTTGGACTTCCAGCAAGCGTGCGTGAGCGTGTTAGGAGTGAATGGAGATGAATGATACTTGGGACCTGACGATCTGTTGGAGTGTGAGCAGGGTAATATTTAGTGAAGGGATTCAGGGAAACCTGTTATTTTCATATAGTTGGACTTGAGTCCTGGAAATGGGAAGTACAGTGCCTGCACTTTAAAGGAGGGGTTTGGGATATTGGCAGTTTGGAGGGATATGTTGTGTATCTTTATACGTATATGCTTCTAAACTGTTGTATTCTGAGCACCTCTGCAAAAACAGTGATAATGTGAGTGTGTGGTGAAAGTGTTGAATGATGATGCAAGTATTTTCTTTTTGGGATTTTCTTTCTTTTTTTGGGTCACCCTGCCTCGGTGGGAGACGGCCGACTTGTTGGAAGAAAACAAAAAAAAAAAAAAAAAAAAAAATGCAATATGCAGTATAAAGCTACATAACACTTTTTTTAATCTTGAACATATTCATCAATATTAAAATGTGCTCTTACCTTGAATTCTTCCATAATCTTCCTGATGGCCCGCCCACGAGTACCAATGAGACGAGAATGTATGCGGCTGTCAATTTCAACAGTGTCCTTTACCATTTTATCCAGTTCTCCAGTGATAGCAAAGATAGCTGCTTTTGCTTCATGTACGTTTTTTTCATATCCTGTAATGGTGATGATATTTTCCTCTACATCACCACGAGGAGGAAACTGAATGTTGACATTATGTTTATCCCTGATCTTTGAGATAACAGCACCTTTCTTTCCAATGATTTTGGGATGATATTCAGGGTCCACTTCAACCCGCAACTGAAAAGATCGTGCCTTGCGGTCTAATTCTTCGTCTTCTAATTGACGAACTTTTTCTCTTAAAGCTTCCCGAGCACGCTCTGTGTTAGCTGGTGAGCCAGTAATCTTGATAACATCACTCTGATCCTGTGCTGGGGGCACATGAATATTAACATCAAATTCTGTCATCATATTACGAACATTTTCTCCTTTCTGACCAATAATGAAGCGGTGGTGTCTGAAGGCAATGTTCTCTTCAACAGTAACTGGCACTAAATTTAGCAGGGCATCACGAGCAGCTTCACATCTGTCTTTTTTGCCTGTAATACGCACAATGTCTTGAGGCCTCACAGCTGCCTCTTCATTAACCTCACCATTTAGTTGTCCCTGACTATCATCACCATTGGCAAGATAGCCACTGTCTTTTTCAGGGAATTTGATTTGTACTTCAAACTCTGTAGTGAGTGCCTGCACCTTACTGCCCCGGGCACCCATCACAGTACGATGATATTTTTGTGGAATTATTACTTCCAAGTTCACCTTCTCTTCAAGATCATTCACTATCTCCTGGATGCGAGCCTTGGCTCCCTCAACACATTCTTTGGCTCCTTTTAAGGTGACCTGAAATTTGTAAATAGCATAATCAGATACATGATACACATTAATCTCTAGCAACAAGCAAACTTACAGCATGAATGTGCAGGATCAAACATGGATTACTTAACTATTTGCAATTCGCTTCTTAAGAAATTAAACAAAAATCCACTTACTGTACCAAGAACCAAAGAATTCTACACATTTTTCAATGTAGTCCTATGCAGGTATGGTAATAAAAAACTTCAGTATGTTTAATACATTTAAACACAGGCAAGAAACAAAAAAAAAACATGGGAAAAGTTGAATATTAGATCTAGGCCTTTTGTGTTACAATCAACACATCAGTAGTTTGCAATGTTGCAGGAAAGAGGTGGTGGTCCAAGCAAATCCTGATGGTGTGATGACTGCAACACAGAGGGCCTAGAGCTATCATTCAACTCCCCTCCCTCATCCCCCCATGGTTGTTTTGCATCTTGTATCATTTGTTCACAATTTTTGCTTAAAAGGCAAAGATCTTGGCATAACAAGTACTACTCTACATGAACAGGATGTTCAAGCATTACACGTACTGTATTAAATATGAGTAAGAGCAAGATTATCAATGTAAGTACAGTAGACACCCGGTTTTCATAATTAATCTGTTCCAGGAGGCTGGCCTAAATCCGAAATGGCAGAAAACCGAGGTAATATTTCCCATAAGAAATAAAGTAAATCCAAATAATCAGTTTCAGACACCCAAAAATATTAACTAAAAAATTTTTTTATAGAGAATAACTATAGTGTTGCAGCCCTTCAGTGGTTAGCACATTCATTACTTACCTCAAAATATTTGTAGTCTTAATGTAGGGTGAGAGGCGAGTAGTATTTATTTGTAGGAAGTCAGTGTAGGTAGCTGGTAGATGTAGGTACACACATGTAGTCCCTCTGGGCTACTCCTACCGGTTACCTATACAGCAGAACACAGCCATATTATTACCACCAACAAACCATGTTCACCGAGTTTAATTGTTTCTTATAACTACCTTTAGATGCCATCATAAACGAAGGGAGAAGTAATGAATAATTCATGCCGAGAATTGTAAACAAACACATGTTAAGGGCGGTGACTGGGCCAGACTCCAGATTCACAGTTTTCTCTAACGCTCGACCAGAGAAAACGTAATGTTTACCCTCCACATGACTTGCCACTCGATAGCATATAAACACTGCATGTTTATATGCTATGTAATGTGTTTCTTACATAATTTTAAAGAAAATATAGATGGATTAATGAAAATTTCTATATTAACCTAAATAAGACATTTAATGTGCACAAGAGTGAGTCACGAACGTATGAACAGTCCAGGTGAATGCTTCTGGTACCAACGATTTCTGAGTGGATGCACGAAATCTGGGGGGATAATTTCACCAAAAAAAAAAAAGTGTTCGATTTCCGGACTGGCCGATTTCTGCACCAGCCGAAACCAGGGGTCCACTGTACTATAATACTGCAATACACTATATTAGTTTGATTAAACAAATTTTTCAATCAAATTAATGAAATATACAGAAGCAGATAACATTTTGAGAAGTAAACAAGGCTTAGGTGGTCTTGGGTTATGTAAGGTATCCTGTTCTACATCTTAAAGGAACTATACTTTGTTGGGTAACACCTTGGCAGACATTACTGCACAAGACCTCACTGCTACACTGTAATAACACAAAAAAACAACTGAAGCTACAGTCTCCAGAAAAAAGAAGTGAGCGACACAAAAGAAGAAAAACTGGTTGCCAATTGTTTATCAGTCAAATGATTAAAATTGTAATGGATGCAAAATGTCAAAGTGACTAGATATTGATGCTTTATAAGTTCAGTAATTAAGATTTTAGAACTGTGTATGTTATGCATCTATTTCCAAACATATTTTTTGTGGTAAACTTTTTTTTTTCTTTAAACTGTGTAGCAAAAAAAAATGTACTCCTCCCTCTATATATATTCCTACAATTAAAAAAAAAAAAAAAACAGATTTTGCTCATCTCTTGCAGCACCCATTTTGTTTCTCATTTTATCTTCAAGTTCTCGACATTCAACTCTCCCAAATGGGAGTAACCACTGTTTTGCTTTGGTATCTTGTGATTTATGTAAAATATCCCTTGTCAGTGAATAAACTAACCAAACCTGATATATTAAGACAGCCCAAGAAGTGAGTTTCTCAATGTTATTACCACAGTAGCCAATCAGCCTTTGGTGTCAGAAGTTGGTACATTTTCCTAGGAAATATTAAATATTTTTTTTTTAACACACCAGCTTTCTCCCAGTGAGGCAGGCTGACCCAAAAAAGAAGAAATACTTTTAGAACATTTTTCTTCTTTTTACAATTAGTAATTTATACAGAAGGGGCTACTAGCTTCCTGCTCCTGGCATTTTAGTTGCCTCTTACAACAACATGGCTTATGGAGGAAGAATTTTCAACTTCCCCATGGAAAAATATTAAATATATCGTTATTACTATATTTTTAGGCATACATAAAACAGAGGATTTGTCAGCATGAAAGATAACATTTTCTTGAGCTCTGGAACCCCTAGATCATTGCCCCTGGTTAGTGAAGAGGCAGTTTTTAGTCCTTCACTGTCATTCGTTAACCTGACACACGGGATTCTGTCTAACCTCTCTTTCAATTTTTTGTTAACCTAACTCACTCAAATGTAACTTAACTCCTCCATTCACATGCTCTATGGTAACCACCACAATCACACTTCTCAAGCAGTCAGTCCCCACAAGGCAACCACTGCTGGTAAGCTCGTGTAAGTTTGCCAGGACAGGTCCTGGCCTGGGTCTTCTCCATGTGGTGACCTGGCAGTGGCTCCCTAAGGAGTGCCAGAGTTGGTACAAGTGGTGCACCATTTACAACCCTATGACAAGGGTATGGTGATTCTTTCAACTCCAGTCGAGTCATTCCTGGCACTCAGGGCACAGCCCAAGTGCCAGGAATGACTCAGGAGATTCTCCGGAGGTGTGTTCAACATGTAACATCTGGCTGGTGAGTATTCTGCTAACTTCACTAAACATTAAAATGCTTTCTTACTGAATCACATTGTCCTTTAGTTTTTATACATCGCTGCTGCTAATGTAATTGTGCAGACACTTTACCAACACACAATTATGTAGAATTATTGCTGACAAAAATGCATTGAACTTCCATGTCAAATCATCCTCTTAATCCATTTATTCAGAAAACTTGCAGACTGTACTGAATTTTTATTACAACAGTATTAAGAAACTGCAAGAACACCAGTAAAAAAAAAAAAATAAAACTTTAATACCCAAGAAGACAGATTACTCACCTTGTCACCCTGAACACCTGACCGAGGGAAAGAGACGGTCACTCCTCCATACTGATCACCAATTTGACGCAGGACTTCACCTCTTCTTGAAACAAAATGTCGATGATGCTTTGGATCCACTGTCATGGTATCTTCCACAATGAGCTCAAGTTCTTTAATGGTTGCCTCAAGTTGTGCCTTTGCTTTTGCAATGGCATCCTGAAAGAACAAATACAGTACAGTATATGAAAATTAAACTGCTTCCATATAGCACAATATGAAATTGTGATAAAATATGAAGTAAATTATCTATTATTCAAACCCAATGGAACTGGAAGCAGGTCAAACAACTAGCAAATTTAAGTACAAATGTGACCTCAAGCACAGTTAACTTTAGAAAAAAAAATAATAATCATTAACTGCAAATATGAACCCAAATGTTTATGAGTCAATCTTCAAAAGTGATGGTGAAGCCGAGTTACGTTAAAATCAGTCAACAAGTGTGCCGTGTGCTGAACAATCTAATGTGTGCAGTGACCTAGAACACTTGCGTATGCAACTAACTGTCCAGTATTTCAAGACAGTGTTTGACCCCTTCAGGGTCCAGACCCCCAATCTGAAACATGTCCACAGTGCCCAAAAATTTTCAAACAAATTTTTAGGTATTTTTCTTATGAAATGGTAGAGAATCTTTTTCTGAAGGTAATAAAATAAAAAGTATGATATTTGATGAAATTACAATATCGCAAATTTTGCTGTATCAGTGATATTTATGCTGATACAGCAAATTACAGTGTTCCAATTGACCAAATTATTAGCTATTTAGCTAGTATGCCTTCATTTTATCGATTGAGCACAAGAAACCACCCAGTCACCTACTTCAACTACCCAATAAAGCGATCAGAAATTAGTTATTCAGCCAGTTTCACACAAATTTCAATAGAGGGTCCAGAATAAACAATACAGGCATTCCTGGCACTCAAATAACATTTCCTCTGTTCATTTGTTACATTTCCAGGCTTTACACATGAATTCCATTTTGATTTTTTATGCAAAGAATTTTTATTCACACCAAAAAAATAGACAATTTAATGTTATGCAATATTGTAGTAATTTTTATAAACAATATCAGCGCATTCATGAATGCATATTAGACCCACCAGCTGACATGTATTGGACGCATGATTGGCAAAGATCAAACATTTCCAATATTTTGAGGTCATTTTCAAGCTATTTTCAGTCTTAATTAAAACCAATAAAAAATCATCTCTATTTCTGTAACATATCTTCCATTCTATCAAATGAGGAAAAGAAACTGAATACAACCATAAAAAATATACCACAAATTTGCTGTTTTAATCCAAAAACACGGTCGCAGTTTTCTTTTTTTTTTTTTTTCATCATGCACTGCGTGCTGCTGAATTTTTTTTAAATGGTGCCCATTCTCTCATATCTAGTCCCAAATTTACTGGTCACAACTTATCTGAGCGAGATGAGCTCATAGCAAAAAACTACAGCACTGACCCAGAGTTCAAAACTGTAAAACTACAGCATGGACCCTCAAAGGGTTAATGTGCTTAATGATGAAGAGGAATATAATGTCCCCATGAATCACCAATGAGCAGATGTTGTGTCTTCAATTCAAGCCATCAGATATCAGCATCCAGAAGACACGGCAGTGTCGTAACTCGGTTACACAAGGCAAGCTAGGTTCCTTTTCCTTGTATACTCCCAACCCGGATAAATTGCAGTGGGTTTGTCAAGGGAGTTACAAAAATATGTACATTACCTTCATGACACTGTAATGAGTGATCAACTGGCCCACCCCAGGTAAATCATGTGATCTCACCAGGCAACATGTACCTGATTAATAGTGGCTGACATGATGACAGGGCACATGCTTAATTAACCTTAGTACATTTGCCCAATTACAGCTGCATGGAACACAAGGACAAACACTGCAAAGGAAGGACTGCAGAGTGCAGCTGCTTTAGTCTTCAGGTCATCAAACCTTTAATACTTTTTGTAACTAACATCACCCAAAGTCCACAAACTGACCTTTGCCCTTAAACAAAGGCCTCACATGGCCTGAAATAGGCCTCAAAAACAGTGGAAACAGAGTTTTGGCAATTTTCCTGAAGGTCAAGGTCCCCCTAGCCCTCAGTCTGTTTTATGGAATTTTATTAGGTCTGCTTTAATTATTGGGATGGCCTAAACCACAACCAATCATTCTTGGTTATATTTTATTAGCAGGGAAATTAGGTAAAACTTTGATAACTTGTATGATGATGTATTCAAAATCAGAGGCCAGTTTTACATGGGAGGCCTGGGGATGTGATTAATGAACAGAGGAAAGGTTGCTTTAGTAGTAGGAAAGCCTACAGTTTTCATTCTGAATTTTTTTTAATTGTAATTTGTTGAATTTTGAGTTTAGGTGCCTTATAGGGTAACTAATTGATGAATGTGCAGTTTCTAATGTTCAATCAACAAAATGGTCAGCATACAAGTGAAATAACCAAGAAGTGGGCCAGTTTGAACAAAGGAATTGGCTTACAATAGGCCTCAAAATGAGCAAAATAGCAGAAGCTTAAAGTGCTCCTTGACCTCTAGCTTCATATCTGTTTAATTCCCTAAGCTTCCCATGAACTTTTGCCTTTTTGGTCCTATTACACAAGAAATTTTCTCTACCATTTTAAATTATTTAAATTCCAACACTGACTGGACTTGGGGCTGTGACAGTCACAAGGTTAAGGCTGTATATCACCTGTACTTCAGTCAAAGATATCTAAAACTGGGATTAAACTCAACTCAGTGTCTATAACTTTTTCACAGTTTAAGGAAAATAAAGTGTTCTAAATTATAGAAAGGAAGGACTTTTAACTTGGAAATTATTATTATTATTATCATCATCAAAAATAAGCGCTAAACCACAAGGGTTATACAGCGCTGCAGGGCAGGGAAGGAAGCAAGGGTATCGGGCGGCAAAAGGGGGGAGGGATGATTAGTAGGTTACAGAAAACAGCGAGGCAGGGGATAGTGTGGGGGTAGAGGGTAGCAAGAGATTGAGGTAGAAAGGGCTGCGAGGAGTGATAAAGGTATCATCATCAGAGTTTGTGAAGTCAGTCAGTTGTTGTCAAAAAGTCAATGAGAGAGTCAGGATGAAAGGAGGGTCCATCAGCAAGAAGGGAAGGTAAAGAGAGAGCAGCAGAGCAAAGACAACGTTGGAGGTAAATTCTGCGTGCTCGTTGATAGTGGGCAGTCTAACAGAATGTGGCTGACCAATACTGGAACCTGACAATTCTCTCAGAGAGGAGCAGGGCGCCTCTCCACGAGATATCCACGAGTAAGACGAGTGTGGCCAATGCGAAGGCGGGAAAGAGTAGTCTCCCAACCTCGACATTGATGACAAGAAGACAGTCAGTAACCTATACTCGGTTTAATAGAACGAAGTTTGTTATTGAGCAGAGAAGACCAACGTTGTTGCCAACGGGTGTGAAGGTGGGTAGCTATAACAGCAAAATAGTCCGTGAATGGAGCACCTCTATATGAAACTGGAAGGTCATGTACTACTGACTGTGCAGCAGTGTCTGCCTGTTCATTGCCCTGTATGTCAACATGACCAGGGACCCAACAAAAAACAATATCTTTATGCTTGGTAGAGATACGGCGTAACCAAAGTTAGATATGGAGAACTAGGGGGTGAGGTGTATCAAATTTTTGTATAGCCTGTAAAGCAGTGAAACAACCACAAATGATGACACAGGCAAAGATGCAATACGGATAAGTGCTGTAAGAATGGCATACAATTCAGCAGTAAAAATGCTAGCTGAAGACGGTAAATGCCCTCGCACGATGCTGTCCAGAAACACTGCTGTGAATCCGACACCGTCAGAAGACTTAGAGCCATCTGTGTACACTGCGATGGCATGAGAATGAGATTGGAAGTGGTCAAGAAAAAGAGAGCGGGAAGCCACTGTAGGCAGTTGGACTTTTGAGCAAGGGAGTGAGAAAGAACAGACTCGAACAGCTGGAACTTCCCAGGGGGGTAGGGAAAAGTGAGATGCTACATGAACATAGAAAGGTCGCAACTGAATAGAGACAAGAGCGAATGTAGGCGAAGAGAAAAGGGATGGAGCAAACAGGGGCGGCAAACAAATAAAGAATGTCTACTAATATCGGTGACTATTCTATAAATGGAAGGATTGCGGAGATCATGAGAGCGTACATAGTAGCGAAGGCAACGGGCATCATGGCAATCGGACAAGGATGGAACATTCGCTTCTGCATAGAGGCTCTCAAAAGGGGAAGAGCGAAAAGCACCAAGGCATAAACGTAATCCCTGATGATGGATGGAATTAAGGCTAGAGAGAGTAGCAGAAGAGGCCGCTGAATAGATCTGGTCACCATAATCGAGTTTCGATAAAATGAGGGCTGAATGTAGGCGAAAGAGAGTTCAACGATCAGCTCCCCATGAAAGATGAGCAAGGGTTTCAAGAAGGTTCAGCCGGCTGTGACAAGTTGCCTTCAGAAAGGTAATGTGAGGTTTCCAGGATAACCTACTGTCAAAGAGAGGGCCTAGAAACCAGACTATCACATTCAGGGATACGTGAGCCATAAAGGTACAAAGCATGATCGGAAATGACAGAGCGTCTAGTGAAAGTAATTTGGCGAGTTTTGGTACTGGAAAATTTAAACCCACGAGTGGTGGCCCAATTAGAAACACAGTCGACCACATGCTGGAGAGAAATTGTAATGAGGTGACAGTCAGCGCCTGCACAAGCAATAGCGAAGTCATCAACATAGAGTGACGACCAAATATTGGATGGAAGACCAGAGGCCAAATCATTTATAGCAAGGAGAAAAAGTGTTGTGCTCATAACACTTCCCTGGGGGACACCTTCAGCTTGGACAAAGTCCGAGGAGAGCACATTATTAACCCGAACACGGAAATGTCTGTCAGTTAAAAAGTTCTTAATGAAGGATGGTAGGTTGCCTCAGAGGCCTAAGGAGTGGGCTTGGGCCAAAATATTATACCTCCAAGTTGTGTCATATGCCTTCTCAAGGTCAAAAAACATGGCAATAACTGAGTGGTTATTCGCTAAGGCATTACAAACATACGTATCTAAGCATAGTAAGGGGTCTATGGTAGAACGGCCCTTACGAAAGCCATATTGACAAGTGGAGAGACTGTTGCGTTTCTCTAAATACCACATTAAACG